ATCTGATGACCAATGCTACTTTACCACTGGGTATCAAGGAAGATGAACCTCAGCCAGAAGCTTCCACTCAGAAGTTCAGAGGAGAAAGTGCTCTCATCTCCACTTTAATTAACAGAACACTTGATTACACTCCATATTTCCCATGCTCACTAGGCAGACTACCATATGTAAGCAAAAATCCCGAGCTTTATTTTTTTCTGTCTGCTTTCCTTACTCTGTTCCTATTATTTTCATAAAGCCTGTCACCAATAACTGTTTTTTCCTCTCTGTAATGGAAATATTATAAATGATTGGTTAAGAAAAACCCAAATCCTAAATCACTAAGCAATAATTTTGAGATATTATCTAAGTAATACGCAATTTAATAGCAGATTTTTGACAGGATATATTTCACTTAGAAAACTATCATTTTTTCTCCCTTAGGTTATAAGGTACTTAAATCTTTTTTTTTTTTTTTTTTTTTAAGGAGGAGGAAACAGCTGTGGCTAAAGCACACTTTTTCCATCTGTCATTTTTTCTTTATTTTTCTCTTTTTGTGCATGCAGCACTCAGAATGAAAACATTAGCAGTGATGCCAATATTAGAAGTTAAAGAATGTAAACTTGAATTTGGAATTTGGACAATTTTGGTCAGGGTTTGAGGGAAGGGTTCCTCTATTTTCCTATTTTATATGTTTGCTGACAGTGCTGGAGGCCAGGGTTGCTCTCTCAACAGCAGGTACTGGAATGGGCTCCCCAGGGAGGTGGTAGAGTCACCGACCCTGGAGGCATTCAAGGAACATTTGGATTTTGTGTTGAGGGATATGGTTTAGTGATAACTATTGGTGATAGGTGGGTGGTTGACTGGATGATCTGGTAGGTCTTTTCCAAGGAAATAGAGACATTCATGTGCTAAAATACAAGCATGGAACAGGAACCTTAAGAAATGTAAAGGTAAGGCTCCATCCATTGGTGTTGGTGTTACTGTGATTCTGTGTGAAGCACTGCTGGACTGGTCTGTCTTTCAGACCTTTCATCCAGCTTTAAGCTAAGCTATAGGCAATTTCCTCAGCTGTTATTTAGTCAAAGGGGCAATCTGGAAAGAGAGACTGAGAAAACTGAAGGAAATAGGCTGATGGTTAGACTTTGGTTGAGAATACACCCAAAATCATCCTTCTTGAGAGTCTTCCCAAGTTGTCCTTGTTAAAACACATTTTCTTTTCTTCCCCATGCATCGTCTTCCACTCCTGGACTCTCTTGTGCTCAGTAATCATCCTTAGCTCAACTTTCAAAACCCCACTGCTTTGGATCAGATCCTCACTCTGTTGCCCATGAAAGTATCCAATATTTCTCAGAAGAATCCTCAAAACGCTGGATAATAAAAAGGTATGGGAAAACCTTGAAAGATGGTTTGGCAGTCCTCTCCATCATTTGTTAGACTGTTTAAGTGCTGAAGTTTGATGGGCAATGATTAATAATATTCTGGAAAATACATGCTATTCTAAATCCACTCAATTATTCCACAGTAGGAGAATAAATTACAAGAGTGACAATATGAATAGACAGCTCTCTTTAGGAGTAAAGCACAGATGAAAATTTCATGTGATTTTGGTTTCATTTCTCCCCCCTTAATTCCTTCTGTCTCCAGGCATTGCACTGATGAAAACAGACCCTGAATTCAAAGAGAAGTCCCACTCTCTACTGTTGGGTTGGGAAGGACTATGAAGTCTTAGTAGCCAGGTGAAATATCACAGTGAGACGTGATGATATTTGGATGGACAAAAGAACGAATTATCCTGTAGTTATTGTTCACTTTTGTGCCAACTAAAGCCAGATTGGCATCCATCCCAAAAAAACTAGCACATATTTTGATTGTGATTTTCATTTTCTTCTTCCTTAAAAAGAGCTATTCCTGTAAAGTCAGCCAGGATTTAAACAAATAGATCTATAGCATGATAATAGCCCCATTAAAAAAATAATTAGGAACACGGCCTGAAATAACTGTCTACAGATATTCAGAAACATAAATCAACCCAAGTATTTGAATAACATCAAGGTGATGATGGAGACAAAGTGAGGTGGTCTTGCTTGAGAACCTTGCTTTGTTTTGATATACAGAGCATCAAATGGAGGAGAGCAAGGCCCGTTGCTCCGCTGTGTTCTCAGGCCAATCTGCCTGTAAGATAACTGTCAGAAAGGGCAAACAAGCAGTATAATTCTTTCCACCAGTTATGTTGTTTTGTGAGAGCAGAGCAGCTTTCAACTGACAAAGCGATCTAACCTCTGAAATATAGACCTCTTATCAAGTTGGGCTTTTTTCATGAAAAACACTTTTTTATTTTGCCTTTGAAGGCATTCGAATGCTATTATTTCAGACACATCTCTGCTACAAAGCCCTACACAAATATTGCCTCACATTCCTTTTTATCATTTGTTGTTTAACTTGCCAAAGAGTTTGATTCAACCACATGTTGCAGTCAAAGGAAGTTTTTCAGCAAGTTTGGACTTGGTTCTTGGTTTCTACCTTTTTCAAGCCATCTAGGTCTTCTCCACATACACTTCTTGGGACCAGAGGAGCAGCGTGCAAACACCAGTGTCAGTTCATCTGCAAAGCCAAACAAAGCCCCCATTCTAAGGGAGACTCAAATTTGCAAAAAAAACTGTCAGCCCATTGCACCTCTGCTTTGCTGCTCACTCCTCTCTCCCAATTTTTTTCCCCAAACATTATCCCAAGCGCTTCTCCATGCTGGAGATCCCAGAAGCAGCAACTTTGCTATCCTTCTGCACGATGCTGTGGCCCTGACCATTTGCTATCAGCATCAATGTTCAGCCTAGTGGCAGGTTTAATGCTTCTCCATCTATGATTTATTTCACTGCCCATTCACTTACTGCTTCACCACTGAATCACTTGGCAAGAGAACAGACCTCCTAAAGGACCCCAGGCTACAGTCCATCACCTCTGCACAGAGCTGGAGATGAGAGCTGAATCCCTGGAGGTCGGCAGACCCAGTGTTGGTCACTGCAGTGCAGTTTTGCTGTTGGCTGCTCTCTGATTCAGCACAGAGAAGGTTATACAGATCTTCCTCTGTGCTGAGTCACAACCTGTTCCTCCTGCTCACAGCAGGAGCAGTGGCTGAGGCAGGACGTTCCTACACGCACTGCACAGGGCTTGGGGAACACAAGTGAGTCACTGTTGTGATTCTTGATATCCCGCATTAATAGATGCTATTTGTAAGAGACTTTGGAAAACCATTCTTAAAAATTCTCTGCATTATATCATTTTTTATTTTTCTTACCCCTATTGCCAAGCTTTAGTAGTTACTGTAAATGGATAGGAAGTTGGAAAACCTCAGGTAATGAGTTACTGTCCAGTGTTTGCCCTTGAAATCTTATGTTTGTTCACTTGCACGTTCACCGAGATGAAATAGAGCACTGAACCTCCAGATTTTTTGGGTGGAAAAGAGTATGTTAGTAGTGCTATTGACATTGGCTCCAAAAAGTAGATCTCCATCAGTAAGAGGGAAAGCTGTTGCTTTTCCTATCATCAGAGAAACGTGGAAGTCAGGAGAGATAAGGCATGTTTGGCAATGACAGCATTACCACTGATCACTATTTTTTAGACAAAATGTTTTTCTTAGTTGAAAAATGATCTGCTCTGGTACATGCAACTTAGTGCATGAAAACAGACTTCTGGAACTTTTTCATGTTTTGCATTTTAAGTATTAATGAACTTAAAACCATCATTTATTTTTAGAACGAACATCTTTCACAAACATATCCATGCTTACAGAATTGAAATGTTTGATTACAAGTGTGGACTACTCAAAAAGATACTTTTTCAACTTGGAAAACACAAATACTTCAAAACTATCAGGATTTTCCCTTCTTTGATGAACACTGTCTTGTTTCATGGATGTTTAAAACACATGGAAGTGTGTTGTGAGATAGAGCCAGGAAAGTGAGCATAGAATAAGATTGAATTATGGGACTAACAATAGCCAGAAACTGCCACAGACAACAGTCCCACTAATATAAAAATCAAATCTGTTTGACTACGTCTAACAGTGAAGAAGATTCCTGGCTCAGGAGATATCATCCTTAAAGAAAGGTTTATTAAACAGAGGTTTAAGGTTTGCAAAGTTGTATTAAAAAAAAAAGACCTGAAAAAGCATCTTTGCATGGAAAGGTTTAGTCAGCTTCAGAAACAGTTTTCATTTACAATGCATGGAAAATTGCTAATCTTACCAAGTGTGTCACCAAACCAGCGCTAAAGACTGAATGGAAAATCTTTTGTAGTCATTTCTGTGAAATGTCATGTAATTCGCAAGAAAAGGAGAAAAACAAGAGTTATTTCTGTTTTTCCTTGCATGGTCTGTAACTTTGACTTGGTAGCTTGTAATCAAGAGTCTGTACTGCAGTGATCCCATTCAGGAAAGTCCTTCAGGTACCAGGAAAGTCTCATTCATGGGGAAGGAGCTTTGGCAGGATACCCTGCATGACCTGGAGTCAGGTTCCCCAGTTTAGTGGTCACTGTTTCCTGTACGTAAAACCAGAAATTAAGTGTACCAATTACTATGGTTCCTCCTCTTAACACATCTGTATGAACCTGGTAAGTACATTTTCTATTAATCTGATTAACAGATTTCTTTCCGCTTTTTTATCTCAAGAAAATGCCTTGCAGCCCCATTGTTTTGCTACTTAACAATTCTATGCTGTCACTTTGAGGCCAAATGCAAATGTAAAACAGATCGTTTCCATTTAACCAGTTTCTTAAAAAAAAAAAATGCTTACTGTCTACATAACAGCCCTCAATATTAATACATCACCCGGACAGCCAGAATGAGAACAAGCAAAACAAGCATCCTACATCACAGAAATGTAAGTAACGCAGAGACAGAGTAAATACCAGTGTCAAAGGAAATTCATTAGCTAATGTTACCTAAAGAGCATATCTAAATGTGTCAGGTGATAAGAAGTGAGACCAGCTCAAACCAGCTCTCTGGAGGGTGCCTGTCTATTTGAGCCATGGAAAGAATGAAAACACGCGGGCTGTGTTACACAGCCCTCCTTGCTTGAAGCACATTAAGCTGCACAAGCAACAGTCTGGAGCTGACAGAAGCCTTACTAAGCACATGGCTGCTGAAACAACAGAACGTGCCACCAGCCCTACTCTTTTCACTCTGTGACGTTCTCAGGTGGGTGAGCAATATCTCAAGTAGAGGTTCATGAGAGTAAGAAAACAGAATCATAGAGGGCTCTCAAATGCTTTGTTGTTAGAAACATAAAAGCTATGGCACTTTTGAGGTATGCTTTTCTTCTTTAGTTTCTAGGCTAGGATGGAGGAGGACTGTGCCCAGGACAGATGCCTGCAGGAGCAGGGAGGTAAGTAGACTCTTAGGGGAATGACACCTCTTCCTCTGCATCCAACTTTCTTTCATTAAGATCACCACCATATACATATTACCATATTACCACCATATTACAGGACTGGCATTAAAAGAAAACTATAATGAATAAGTATTTTCCCATTTAAGTTCTAGTAATCTCCTGGATGCTTCCCCTCTAGCTTCATCCTTTGCAACCATCTCTCCACAATGCCTCGTGTCAGTTTCTTGGAAATACCCTTCCTTGCTGTTGGGTACCTACAGACCCTTACACAACACCCCCCTGCACATTCCTGAGTTCACAGACAGAACAGCTGTGCATCTTTATTACACATATGCTGCATTCTGGTTTTGCTTGTTAGCCAGCAGACAGGAAAGTTTTATTTTTAGGCAGATGTGAAAGCCCTAATTTGTTGCAGAGGGGAAGAGAGAAACTAATAATAGCATGCAATGCAATACAACCAATGCCAAATTAATTAACAGAGACCAAAACAGGTTACAGCTCATCAGCCAAAACTACTATTTTCCACATCCCAGGCCCTCTCCTTTTCTCTACATGTAGTAAGTAGAGAAGGAGTTGGAGGATGGACAGCCTGCAACACTGAGCAGTGCTGGAAATATATCATGCCTCTGAGGTACTGAGGTAGACTTTGCCTGAGCAGCCACCAGCAATTTCTCTCAAGGAGGAGGAATTGTCACAGCTTCTCTCTGGAGCAGGTGACCCAAGGGAGGCTGAGCTGAGCACCTGCCTCCCTGCTGCCCTGGGGTGACCACACGCTTGCTGACAGCTCTTTCCAACTGGGAGCAGGAGCCTATTTTAAGCCATCCCTTCCCTCACGCATACACTGTTGCCATAGCCACAAAACTAATGCACATGGAAAGAAAGGTTCTTACTCTATTGACTCAGCAGAGAGGCATGTTACTGAATCTCTGTTTCTTAGCTCATGTAAGTGAAAGATAGTGGGACAGATCCTTCCACAGCTGGTGCTAAAATGGCATAACTCCGTTGGCTAAGTGAATCCCTATTAATTTGCTGCAGCTGACATACAAGCTCTTTGTTTTCCACTGCTGTGCCTTCCAGAACCGCTCGTGGCACACTGCAATTAATTCAGCTTCTCCTGTACCTCTCCCTGACAGATACAGTCTGATAGAAACAGCAAAAACTATTCTCTTTGTGTCCACCTTTCATTCGTTTGAGAACTCAAGGAAGGAATACATGCCTGGTGTGTGCTATATCAAACCCCCAGGGTCACATATAGCAGTTTGGGAAATATTTAAGGTGACCTTTAAATGCACTGTCACTGAGGTTTCCTTACAACCTAACAACAGTATGGACCTTAATAGCGGCTTGCACTGATTCCATTTATGTTTGCAAGCTTCCAGCTAACTGATTTGAATAGAATTGCTGATATTTTAACGCTGTTTCTTACAGGATACTTGAAGAACAAACCAATACCCTTGAAATAAAGCCCACTGCACGTTTAGCTAGGCCAGTCTATAAGAGATGCACAGCATGTACTCCGTGTCATTAGAATTTCTGCAACTTCACTGCTTTGTTACTGTTAATGCAATACCCACTTCTTTGGCCTTACAGTTTCTAAGAGTTTAGCACCATTAAGTTCAGAGCCATCACTAAGGTTAAAGCTGTCAGACATCAAGATATAAATACTACCTCCTAGTTATTACTACCTATAAAATAGCCGACTCTTTAAAAAGTCATGTTACACCATATACTCTCACACAGCTTCCCTGCAACAGTTAATTCCAAAGGCTGCTTAAATATGTACAATATTTTTCCTTTGACATGCTTTAGATGTATTTGTCATTAATCTTAACCCTTTGACTCTTCCCTGAGGGACAATGAAGTGATCAGACAGCTGTGCCCCTCATAACTTTTAATACTTTAATTAAAACCCCTTTGGACCTTTTTCTCTCCTCTATTCTTTCTTTAGTCAGCCACCAACAAAAACGACCACAATTTTAACATCTAAACACTGGAAACTATGAACATATAACAATGCAGAAATAATTTCTTATTTTTCAATTTACTTAATTATTTTTAAATTTAATTTCTGGGATGAATGAACTAGAGTTCTATTTTCTTCTGAAAAGTCTTTTTGAAGTCACAGTGGTTTGGCCTCATGCGTATAACCATAAACAGAGCTGTACGGCTTTAGACAGATACTTTCAAGAGAGAGTTCAAGTTCTGCCTCTTCCATAGTTTAACAAGACAATAGTCTTTACACAACTTTTACCCACAGAAATAGTTGATCTGTCCCGAGGATGATCAATCTCATTTAAAGGTAACAGGCTTGGCTCACAGATAAAACGAGCCCTATCTTTTTACTACCCCATTCTCGTGCCTTGCATCCAAGTGAGTTTGGGATTCACGGGCATAGAGAGCAATTGCCAAAAAATGACTGAATTGGCAAATTGTAAATATTGCTGAAATGAAAAAAAAAATTAAAAAAATGATTTTCCACTGCCTCAAACTTTCCATTAACACACTGTCAGAATTAAGTATCAGTTTTGATTCCTTAAGTGTTCTTGGAAGGATTGAAGAAATCAAGCAGGAAATAGAAGCACTGCTAAATTGCTCTGCATTATTTGTTTTGCAGAATTCAGTCTGTTTTACAACATTTTTTTCCCTCCCCTCTGAGAATTATGGGAAAACTGACATAGTTTTACCTTCACAGATTAACACTTGGATTTGTAAACACGCAGGTAAATCTCAGCTCAGCAATAGGAAATGTTGGATGCTTCTGTAAGAACTAGATCAAACAAAGCCAACTTTTAAGTCGGTTGGTGCTTTGTTGCAACCTGATATGCTGTTTATTCAGAAAACATTACAGTTTTAAAGCTTTTCAGGGAACTTGGCCCAGTTTGGAGCTTCATGTTGCAGCAGTGGGGCACCTGCATTTCCCCAGGCTGTCTGGAGGGATCAGTCACAGCACCTGCTGAATTGTTCAGCTCAGCAGAGCTCAGAAATCCCAGGAAGCTCAGCCACCCACTCACTGCAAGGCAGCTAGAAGCAAACCTCACCTGAGGGAAATGGTTCTGTGGGCTCTCTTCTACTTCATGTGTAACCCCAGAGGTTTCATACTCATCAGTCATGAATTATGTGATTGACAGACTACTCCTCTGGAGAAGTCATACAAGGGAGCTAAATCGCTGTGATTAACCCTCCCCATTCAAAAGAAACCCTCAAGTCATGCTAACACCTCTAATACACCACTCTATGAGCACCCTTGTGTGCTCAGTGCAGGCAAGAAAACCATTTTTTGACCTACACAGCCCAAGCCCAATGGCTAAGCTGTGCTATTGGAATATACTGAAAGGCTATAAAAATCTCATTGGCAACATGAGCTTTCTGTTCTTTGTTCTAAGAGCACTCGTTCACACCCTGCAAGAAATAGACGTGGAGTAATGACTTCCACTAGCTAAGATACATCAGAGTTGTCAATCACTGCTTTCACACCACAAAACCAGCTGCAGTTTTCACTTGTTCTCCATATGTTAAATTAAACCTGGTAATAAATGTGCATGCAAGGATAACTGTCATGGAGTCCTGATAGCTGATAAGAGCTGAATTCCCTTTTCTTCTGGTGGATAAAGGGGTTGGACCCTGGAGTAGAGAAGATCCACCTCCTCCCAGCGCAGCTGCAGGAACACCTCTGGGCTGGACCACAGAAACTCTGTGGCAGGTAGAAAAAGGGCATCAGAGATAAAAGTAGCTTATAAAATAACTCAGTGTCAGCACATGATTATGTTGTTTTCCCCTTAATCATTAGTTAGACTGCTGTGTTGCAAAACACCCTGGAGCTAGAGAAACTGCTAATATGCAACAGCTTTTGGAATGTCATAAATGCAAAGTATTACTGGACTAAATATGCAGTGTATTGTACAGTCAGAGTATGGATGGGGAAACTTTTGGACACTTCCAACTTGTAATAAAATGAAAGAAAGTGGATTAGTAGGATTTGTAACTCATTAAAAGGGAAGAGCTGCTTTAGAAAGATTTGTGGGGAAACTGACAGCAATCAGACTCTATTCCTTCTCAAAGTTCCTTACACCTGGACATAGATAATTAACTCCCTATGCCCTCACCCAAAACAGTCTCATGCTTCACAAGACAATTTGCAGATGAGAATCTGACATGGTAGCACTGACCCTGGAACACACTGGAAATAAATCAGGTTTTGCTTTGCATTATAGAGGTGTGAGATGAGCCTGATCACCTTCCAAGGCAGCCAGACCATCAAAGCCTTAAGCAAACAGCTGCTGTGCATGGGATGCTCAACCCTTGCTCAGATAACTGTGGGCCTACGTGGCTTTTGGCTGAAGCCAGAAGATAGCTTCTATCTGCCTTCCATAAATCACATCGGCTTGCCCCAAGACTAAGCATAATGGAACGAGAAGACCTTTTACTTCAATAAAGCAGAGGTTGATTCCAAAGGTAAATTAGGAAGAGGTAAATTATAGAGAATAAAAATTCCTTTCAAAGCTATTGGAAGATACTGAAAGGCCATAAAAATCTCATTGGCAACATGAGCTTTCTGTTCTTTGTTCTAAGAGAACTCGTTCACACCCTGCAAGAAATAGACGTGGAGTAATGACTTCTACTAGCTAAGATACATCAAAGTTGACCTGCTAGATAAACAGATTTGTTTAATGATTACATTTTCCTTTGCCAAATGAAAGCACATAGAAGTGCAAGATTCAACAGCTTCGTATATTTTTTGCTTGAGCAGCACAATGGAAATCGTTTGTACTCTCCGCCAAAACAGTAAGGCTCCACAGCGCTGAGTCTGGCAGAGACGGAGCTCATCCCAATCATTTGCCAGTGATCGCCAGGAAAGAAATGCCAACAATTTGCTTTTAAGCTTACAAGATGTTGTGTATAAGACAGAGCGATCCTAAGTAATTTTAACTATCTGATAGCTCTTTAATACTGGAAATTCTAAAAAGCCATGAGAATCAAATCTGCCCTGCAGGAGC